TTCTCCAAAGCGCCTGAAGGCAGGACAAGGAGCAACGGGTGGAAACTAATCAAGGAGAGAAGCAATCTAGAACTGAGGAGAAACTTCCTGACAGTTAGAACAATTAACCAGTGGAACAACCTGCCTCCAGAAGCGGTGTATGCTCTAACACTGGAAGTTTTTAAGAAGAAACTGGACAGCCATTTGTCCAAAATGGTATAGGGTTTCCCGCCTGAGCAGGGGGTTGGACTAGATGACCTCCAAGATCCTTTCCAACTTTATCATTATTATTATTATTATTATTAAGATAGATTAGAGTAATGGATTTCCCAAGCCAAGGTATTTGGGCCAATTAAAAAATAATTGTGGACACTAAGGGCCTGAACCAGGGCTGTCATCATGCCAATAGGCCTTATTACTAGCTGTGAATCTCTGCAATTTCTCAAGTTTACTGTACATTGCCAAGCTCACCAATATCAGTATAAAACTCTATTTGAAAACCAGTCCTCAAATTTAAATACCAGTCCCCAAAGTTTTGGAAACTCTAGTCCTCTTGATGATCCTTCTTGCACAAACAAAACTGCCTTCAATAGCTTCAGGTGATTTTTAATTTTGCTTTTGCTTTCTGGGAACATAAACGAAAGGTAAACTTTTTAATGCTATATATGCTGATTATTAATCAGTGTTTTAAAAATTATATTATTTTTCAGCATTTTTACTTGACATGTTTATTAGTTTTCTCTTTCCATAGGAATAAATATCTGCAGTTTAGGTAAACATGGCTGCCAGCATGAATGCGTTAGCACTGAAGAATCATATTTGTGCAAATGTCAGACTGGATACACTCTAAACCGTGATGGCAAAACATGCAGAAGTAAGATTATCCGAAACAGGAAATTGGCATATCAGAATTAATTTTGATACAAAAGATGTCCCCTAGGAATATGTTGGCTATAACAATATTGTGCCTTTAAAATTAATTCATTAAATGACTTAATATGTTTGCTTATTTCACAAATAACAGATTTGTTACAAAACCCCCAAAAGAACAAATGAATGCTAGGTTACCTGATCTTTATTTTTGAAGTATAGATGGTAGCCAAAATAGTGAGTGCCTACAATTTTTTGTAATTTATGAGCGTCTACATTTATATATTTTTTGATATCTCTGATACATAAAACTCTGTTGGTTCATGTTTGTAATTCTATAAATTACTGGTAAGAAAGCTTTTTCATTAGTGACATGCTACTACCCGTAGAAGAGAAAATATAAAAACTATTTTGTAGCTCAAACTCAAGCTATATACTACTCATATTCTCACTGTCATGTAGGGTTGCCAGGTGTCCACTATTTGAGTGGACAGTCCACTTTTTCACATTATGTTCACTATTTTTTTTCACAAAATAGTGGACATTTTTTTATTCAAAAGTTTTATGATGAAATGGTACGTAATCTAAAGCTGTACAGTCTACTTTTTTTACTACTTACCCCCCCCCCCCGCTTGTCCGCTATTTTTTGGAAGCAGACCTGGCAACCCTACTGTCATGCCTTTAACTGGACAAAATGGTGCTTCATAGGGCAACTTTTTTTTTTTAACCAAGGTACCTCAAATGGACTAATTAATGTGTCCAAAATCCAGGACCCATTATTCCTGAGGGAATGAAATTTGGGGAAATAGTGGCTGCTTCAGTGCTAATGACTGCTGCTACAGTCAGGTCATCTTCATTTCCAACATTTTGTGATAATCACATCCCTCTCTTCCCCCCCCCCCCCAAATCCAGCAGCAGCCACTTACGTGCTTGTTGGAAAAGGGAAGGGAAGAGGATTTGTGACTCTTCCTGCCAGATTCCCACAAGGGGAATCTCCAGATCAGATCAGTTTTCAGCATCTTAATGAATGCCATAATTCACCATTTGCACTCTCTGGTCCCTCCAAACATTTTTCTGAAACCTTCCTATTTTCACTGCTGCTGACTCAAAATGTAAAAGGCATGCAGATATCACCATCTATTCAATGCTGTCTCCAAACAACCAATCAGAAGGATTTATAACTTGTTATCTAATTACTATGCCACCAACGAAACTGTTACAGTTCTTCCCTTACTTAAAATCCTTGTTTCTGCTACATGCAAAAGGTAAAATAAATGAATGACATGTGATTCTTCCTCCATACTCTCCTAGTCTTATTAATTGCCCACGAATCTGAGCTATTGTTCGGTGAAAGATCTTACATCAAAGTACCATTCCAATAGCCTTTAAAATCCTGTTGATACCTATGAAGGGAACACGATGAAGTGATATCTTCCAGAATGTTTTACAGCTAATTGTGTTCCCCAATTTTATGATTGTAGACTGTAGAAATAGTGACAGAGAAATGCATCATTACAGAATGAAAGATGCTGAATCTTTATGCTCTTTGAGGCAGAATGAGCACTATGGCAATCAGATTTTTGACATGATAAGAACAGCAGCACCAGCATAATGTCCAGCATAATGTCCAGAATAATAAAATTGCCACTATCATAGCAAAGTAACTATTCGTGGAATCACAAGGGGAGGTTGAACTTCCCAACCACTGTTGTTTCTGCTGTTTTGGTCAGTTTTCTTGGACAGCAATTTTGTCCTTCTGATACCCACTTAGTATATTTTTATTTATTTACTCAATTTATATGTTGCCAATTTTCCCAATAGGGCGACTCTGGGCATCTCACAGATCATAAGAAGATAAATCTAAAAGCAATTAAAAATATGAAATTATGCACATTAAAAATTTAAAACTGTGCAAAACAACCTCAGGAACAGAGGAGTTGGATGGTATGGGATAAGGTCTTTTTGCCACCTTTTTCAAACTGCACAATTCTCCTTTTGCTAACAGCAGCAGACTCTAGCATAAACTGAAAAACTGACAAGCTTTTTGAGTCAGGACAGATAGTCTAGCTTGCAACACTGCATACGGAAGGTTTAGCTTCAGATTTCAAAAAGTTGAAGGGAGCTGGAAATTCACTGACTGTAACTTATTAGCCTTATGTGAATGCACCAGTCCAAAGCTGCTGCTGCAGCAGCAGAAAGATGCTACATGGAAGAACCCTGCGTGTTATTTTGGTTGTTATATGGGGATAGACTTTGTAAATAGTTTTTTAAAATGGGAGCAGATGTCAAGGACAAAAAGGTATAATCTGTAATGGATGGTTCTGTTTCTGAAGTGTTAATATGGATATTTTATGGCTTGAAAATTCAAGTGTTTTCTCTTTTACTGCTCAACACAACAATTCAGGAATAGACTACTGTGCCGAGTTCAATCATGGGTGTGAACAACTCTGTCTAAATACCAGAGAATCCTACATTTGCCAGTGCTCTGAAGGATTTATCATTAATGACGATCTGAAAACTTGTTCACGTAAGTCTCTTGCCTGAGATATTTTATAAAATTAAACAAAACAGTGCTTCCATAATTTCTAGCAAAGCTTTATTCAAGTAGAATTTCAAGTTAATTAGCAGTGATTGGATTAAATGGTCAAGGAAAGCATGTGCTTTGGCAAACTACTCAGAAAAGCAAAGGAACTCAGACATAGGGAGAGATATTTTCCACAAAATGTGATTCTGTTAAGAAAATACAGCAGTAAATTTCAAGTTTCATAGAAAGAAGTGTGGAAGTTTAAGCATATGTAGCTCATACTATACATATGTAATCCATACGAAATATGCACAGCTAAATTCAAAATCGCTAGGGAATTCCTGGAAGTTCAGCATTCAAACAAATCAGCCACTCATAGACACATAGAGATAAACCACATTTACATATCATTCAAAAGAGACAATAAAAAAAAGCTAAGAAGGAAACAAAGACCTAACCACATCCTCACCAGCAGCTCCTACCTAGATAAGCAAGGATTAATGTCAGATAAAGAAGCATAAAACAGTTCCCTAATCAAGGTTCTACCAAGGTGAAAACTACACCCTCCAACAATGGTAGGGTAAGCTAGTGTACATATACAGGAAATAAATGCCACACTCACTAGCAGGGATGATTTTACTTAATCAGGTAATGAATTGTCTGCAAGCAAACAACCATACTCAGAGAGCACCAATGACTCTAAACACCCATACTACTCATTGAGAAACATTTCAGTTTTTTTAAGACACCATTATTTCATGGGTTCATCAAACAATTGATTATCCAAACAATCCATTTCACTGTTAAAGATTTCTTAAAGCTAGTTTTTCCTAAAATACCAGACATGCCAAGAGGCATCTATATGTGAGCTCTGTCTGTCCTCAGACAGGGTTTGGCACCAACATATAATATAGTATATGGATAAGGATTTAAAATATTATTCAATCTTTATTTTATTTATCTTGTCTTCAGTTTCTTCCTCTTTTCCCCTAATTTCTTTATATCTTTTTAAAATTATACGATCCCTTAGAGGTGGGGTAGGGACCCAGTCCATCATTCATCATGGTAACATAATATTAGAACAGGCACTCCCATATCTAGTGGTCTCACCGCCAATGACTGGAGTAGTTTAAAAGAAACTCCACTGTTTGCCCCTTTTCCACCTGGCTTTGACTACAGATGAAAACAGACTTGCTAGACAATACCCTTGTTTTCTTTTGGCTTCTCTAAGAATTTGTCTCTGTGTTTGAACCAGGAAAAGATAATTAAACCTCCAATAAGAGTTTAAGAGAAATAGTTTTCCAAACAATTACTTTAGCTCCAAAGAAACCAGGGCTGTTTGTGGCTACAATAAAGAAATACCATCACACACACACACAGATCAGTTGTCTGTGTTGTTCACATAACAGATAGGGACAATTAAACCAAACAAATGTTTAAACAGCATATTATAGAGCATGTACCTATATAAATAAATTGATTATGCTTAAACATGTTCTCAGGAGCGGACTATTGTTTGCTGAATGACCATGGCTGCGAACATTTATGTGTGAACACTGGAACATCTTACATTTGCCAATGCATTGAAGGATATGTGCTTCATGGTGATGGGAAAACCTGCAAACGTAAGCTTGATTTTAGTTGAATTGCTTCTGTATCTTAGTCCTTAAATGTGTATTTCACAAAACAAATTAATAAATTTGTAGCATGGCTGAACTTGCACAGTAAAAGTCTGTAAGTTTCAAACATGCTCTCCCAGAATACCACTGAGAATACTCATCCTTGCCCCACTTCCTACTCTGTTCTTCGAAGCTGCTTGATAATCACCACTGCAGCCATCTACAAAATCTTCTGGGAATGCTTTATTTCTGGGGATGCACCCGCTCCCTATCCCCAGTGTGTGACAAAAAGGGCTCTCATATTAATATAATGGCAATGAAAAAATAAAAAGAAGAAAAAAAAATGAAGGTAAGTAATTAAAAATTCCAGCTCTTCAATTTTACTTGGGAGATAGATCAATTTCATCACAGGTAAACAAAATCAAACTTTATTTTAAAAAAGTAAATGTCTTTTTACAAATCCAGTCACTAAGGAAAAGAAAGCTTTAAAAGCACATGCAGTGTTCCCATTAGACCTCTAAATGGTACTGGTCCCCTAAAAACTAGTTTACTATCCCATGGACTCCATAAAAAAGAGACCGTAAGAAATGATTATAAATCATAGGAAACTTGAGAAAGAAATTAAAACCTGAGTATGCGCATAAAAGACTACCTGAAATACACATAATTCCTGACTTTGAACAGAGATACTACAAAAGACAACAAAGGTTAGCTAACAATAGCAAAAATGTTTAATACAGATTCCTGGCTGAAATGTTTACGTTTTTTTCATAAAAATAAATAGGATTCTTGGAACAAGTGTTTTTCTTGCTTTTCTTTATGTGGATTTTCTTTTCTTCCTGTAAATTTGAATCAGTTAATTCTGAGGCCTTGGAGAAATGTGAAATCCCACTCAGTTGCTGCCTTTGGTGAACAATTTCTCTCTTTGTTTCAAATGGACTCAAATCTTCTAAATTCAACAAAGCTTGGAAAATTTGATTTTGAATGTGACCAAGAGCACATATCTGTACTTGTAAATGTTGATAGAATTTCTGGGCCTGTCTGGCATGGAAGTGTGTTCACTGTGAATGTCAGTGTTGCCTGTCATTCATAATAAAAACTGCAGTTATTATTTTGAATAACTACAGCTCCTGTAAATTAAATAGTATCTTATTGGCAGGAAATAGATGTTGACTTGGCTAAGGTTTTGTTTTTGTTTTGTTTTTTTGCTTTGCTTTATTTTTTTGAGACTTGTGAAATAAAACAAGGAATAGAAATAGGGATTATGAGATTTGGATCTGTTGGAAAGCAGAGCAATAAATGTTTATTTTAATGTGTGTTGGTTTGTCAATTTAAAACATTGCATTGGAAATTGTTTTCAGATACAGATCTTTGTAAGTTGGTGGACCATGGATGTGAGCATCTTTGTGACAGTGATGGTGAATCATATGTCTGCAAGTGTCATGAAGGATTCATACTAAACAAGGATAGGAGAACCTGCAGAAGTAAGCAAGCATCCCTGAAGAGAATTCATCATGCTAAAAAAGGAATGAATAATCAGCACTACTGATCAGGTTCCGTGCCCCTAAAGAAGTCTGTTTCACTGTTGAACAGCTTTTACCAAAAAGCTTAAAGTCCAATCAAAATCTATTTCCTTAAGATTTAAATCCATTTTTTCTTGTTCTGTCTTCTAGACTAACTCTGAATAATTCTTGTCATCCCTTCCGGAACTTGAAGAGTGTTACCATACTTCTCTTCACCAAACTAAATATACTCCAGGGTTTCCAAGCTTTTCTCATGACTTTTTCCTTCCAGGCCCTTCATCATTTTGGTTGGTCACCTCTGGACACATTTCAGTTTGTCAATATCTTTGTAATGCCCAGAATTTGATACAATATTGTAGATGCATAATATTATAATACAATATTTTAAGTGTATTCTGATCAATACAGAATGTAAAGGGAAAATTACTTTTATCTCCTCTAAATACTTACAAAATGATTGCTTAGTAATTTATTTGATATCAGAGGTTTTGTTCAGTATCAGCAATAAGCCTACTTGCCTGTAGTTACCGAGGTCCACTCCCTCCCCCCCTTTTTTTTGAAGAAAGCAATAAGATTTGCCTTTCTCTATGACACTACATACCTCTGGAAGAGATCACAGAAAAGGGCTACAAGATAACTTCATTAAATTCCTTTAGGACAGTTAATGTAATTAATCTGATCTAGGAGGTTTAAACTCATTTGTGGTAGTTGATTGCTCCCTAAACATCTCATTATTTGCTTTCACTTGCTTATTCTCTCCTTGTGTCAATTTTTCTACTTTGGGGAGAAGAACAAAGCAAAGAGTTGGGGAGCTTTGTTATTCTCTCCTCTACAAGTGACTGCATTACTTCCTTTTTCTTCTTTTTACCACAGATATAGCTAAAAAAACAAAAAACACCCTTTGTTTGTTTTAGCTTTGCTTGCAAGCCTAAATTCCTTTTATACTTTTACACTTTTCTGGGGATATAAGCTACTTGCTGGTTTGCTTCCCTGGTGATTATACACCTCCATCATTTCCTTTGCTTGACTCTTTTGACTTACCTGGGTCAAAAGTTTCCTGACCGTCTGTATGTCCTATGTTTTCCATCCCATGTTTTTCCCATTAACATGATGTATGATTATACTTTCAATATCTTATTTTTGAGAAATTTCCAAGCCTCCCCTGGCTTCCTTTGATCTGACAATTTCTGTTCCCAGTACTGGGCCTCATATTTTTCTAAACTTGTAGAAATTAAAATCTTGAAATCCAAATTGCATATACAGCTAAGAAGTAAGTATTATAGAAAATAATACTTTTAGTATATCATATCTTTAGAAAGTTTTTACCAGACATTTCTTTAATTGTACCCAGATCAAGAAATCTGCAAGTCCATTGACCATGGGTGTGAACATATCTGTGTTAATAATAATGATTCATATGTCTGTGAATGCCATGAAGGATTTATATTATGGAATGATGGGAAAACATGCAAAAGTAAGTAATTTATATCTATCACCCCTATTATTGTTTATTTTATTATTGGAAGGAGTCTCTCTCAAAAGAGATCCTGACCATGTTCAGATATGATATTAAATTACAGTGCAGTGCACACAGGTGCAGCTTTTAAGGAGAAAAAGAACTGCACTTGATCTTTGAATAATATTCTAAAAATCCTAGTCCCAAAGATAAGTGGAGCTAGGGGGGAAAAAAGCAATACTTTGTACTCAGTTAGAAACTGAAAGTGATTTTTAATGAAATTAGAATTAAGTTACAATAATTTCAATTAACTTAGAACCAGTTAACATAGTTATTGTTATTATATTTAATTAGTTTGCATTACCCATTTTGTCCAAAAGGAGCCCAGTTGGTGAGATGTGGCAGTGAGAGGGCCGCATCAGGAAGCATCAGAGATTGCTCTCTGCTGCTTCATGAATAAGCCTTCCCCAGAAGTTAGGGGCTACTTGGTTGAACCCTCTCTCAAAGCAATCTCTCTGAGCTGGGAGTGGATTCCTATATATGGCCAATATAAGAAGATAGCCTGGCTCCAAAGAGCCAGATTTTCTCATTGCCCAAAGCAGAATGATTCTGGAAGTTGACCAGAAGGAGAAGCTGTACTTGCAACACTCTAAAAAGTAATCACTGGAATGGGATCACCTGATTATACCGTTCACAGAGTGGTCAGAATACATTGAAGTGTTTCTATGGTGAAACTAGTGTTGGGATAAAGGGGAAACACTACTTTTAACATCAGAAAACTATTCTGAGGGTTTGAGAGGACTTCAAATGCTTCAGGTAAAGCAACGTTGTGAGGATATGGTAAAAAAAATATTGTACACTACTCAGAATCATTTCTTGTGAGATAGGTGGCTATATAAATAGGATTAATAAATGAATAAAACACTGTTTAAGCATGTTTTTCCTGTTGTAAGTATAAATGAGGAAAGGCTTTTAATTCAGCCCCATCATTTTTTTCCTCCAGTCATCAGATCCTCATTGCAGAGATTAAAAACAAGAACTTGTTTTGATGATTTGCCATTTTTTTTAGCTAAAGCGTGTTGGTATTGATGACTTTTAATTTATTTTTATGTAAGTACCTTTGCAACTCCATTGAACATGATGAATATGATAAATCCTTAGGTTGGAGAAATAGATTCTTTTGCTGACAATATTCCATTATTTCATTTGTTCATTTTATGTTAACAGGATGTAACGAAGGCCCAATTGATCTGGTATTTGTGATAGATGGATCAAAAAGTCTAGGAGAAAATAATTTTGAAATTGTCAAGGAATTTGTCTTGGGAATTTTGGATTCTCTTACAATATCTCCCAGAGCTGCACGTGTTGGTTTGTTGCAATATTCCAGCCAGGTTCGCACAGAATTCACACTGAAACAATTCAACACAGCCAAGGATATGAAGAAAGCAGTGACACAAGTTAAATACATGGGGAAAGGCTCCATGACTGGGCTTGCCCTGAAGCAAATGACTGAGAGAAGCTTCACTGAAGCAGAGGGAGCCAGGCGCATCTCAGCAAATATTCCCAGAGTGTCAGTTTTGTTTACAGATGGACGGGCCCAAGATGATGTTTCTGAATGGGCAGCTAAAGCAAAGCAAAGAGGTAGGATGAATATTTATTAGAAGTGTAAACTATAAAAGAAATATGAAAGAAAGCTGCAAAAGTAATATTGCTATTATTTTTGCTCTTATAAGTTATATATCAATGATGGCGAACCTTTTAGAGTCGGAGTGCCCAAACTGCAACCCAAAACCCATTTTATGCATTGTCGGGTGCCAGGTGGGTGTGGCCCATTGGCTGGGTGTGGCACATTGGGTAGGCGTGGCTGCGGTGGTAACGGCAGACTGGGTGGGACTAAAAAGTTCAATGAATCAATTCCAACTTTGCAAGATTTTTTTTTCCCGCGAGAAGTTGAAATTGACTGATTGAACCTTTTTTTTTTTGCACACGGCAGCGGAGGCCTAAAGCGAAAAGGTTTTATAAAACCCAGCTGAAGGCCTAGGACTGGTGCAACAGTGCGCGTGCCCACAGAGAGGGCTCTGAGTGCCGTCTCTGGCACCCGTGCCATAGATTCTCCACCACTGTTATATACGGTATCTTTTTTTTAATCTAGAGCTTTTTATTAAGTTCTAGAAGAAGGATTTTGGAGAATCTCTAGAAGTGAAATGCATACTATTTGTTTAATGTTAAAGGAAGGTTTGGAAATCTTGCACTGGACTCAATATAAATTTTCAGTTTTCAAAGCAATATTTCTGGGGAATTCTGGCAGTTTTAATCCAAATGTATCTAGACAAAATCATCTTGCAGAATACAGTGATCTATAACAACTAATTCAGATAAAAATTATAAGCGTGGAGCACTTATGAATAAATTTGCCAATAGAATGCCAGTCTAAATGAATTTATTTACGTTTGAGACTCCCCTGACTGATTCTGCAATCATAGTAACAATAATAGGCAATGACTAAATACATATTTTACACCAAAGCAACTAGATGTAACCAACTTAGTAAGAAATTTGAGGACACTATATTTGGGCTTTGATTATGATACATGAAAATTATAATATTTAGGTTATTCAGAATTAATTTGCCCAGTTGATTTCTATGATATTAAATGTAACTTACTTCATCTGAATTAGAACTCTTGCATTTTATTGTGGTTGCTTTTGAAATATTCTTTGTAGATAAGTTTTTGAATACAATTTTTTTATATTCATTAATAGTGCTTTAATGCTATAGCTCAATCTTGAACTGAATTATGAAATTAAACTTGTTTCATTTTTAGGAATCACTATATATGCTGTTGGAATAGGGAAATCAATTGAGAAAGAATTACAAGCAATTGCTTCTGATCCTGCTGAAAAACATATTTTTTACGCTCAGGAATTCAAAGCTATGGAAGAGATCACTGAAAAACTGCAGAAAAGGATCTGTGAAGGTACTAAATAAGCACCACATAATATTCTACACAAGAAACAATATAAAACTAACACAGATAGAAATCTGGGAGTCCATTGGAATTGGAAACTAAGAGATTAAAATAAGTAAATCTGTCCATTCCTTCTGAGCATCTGCATAACTGCTGGAATATAAATAAAACACAATGAGCAGTACACCAGTAGGAAGAATAATATTTCTGTAATTTATCACTTAAGAATTGTATAACTTTATTTTAAGGCCAAAATCATAAAGTATCTACTACTTCAGTCACTTTAACAAAAATGACATATACAGGTCAAAATTCCACAAAAATCCTAGGACCATTTGTAAAAGAATGTGGGATGAATATTCATTAATGTTGTATAAAGGTTAGAATAGTTTACTTAGTATTATTTTTAATTATTAAAGTGATGTTATTATTATTGTCTTTAATAACTGTATATTTGCTTAAAAGAGAGTTAAAGGAGGTTATAGATATGTTATTTTAATAGTTGATTAATGTTAGTTAGAGGATGATTATTTTATTGTTAACCCTGTGATTGGCTCTGGGAAGGGAGGGGGGAGGGAGGGGGAGTGGAAGGGTGGGTTTGGGGAAGGGGGGGATTTATATTGTAAAATTTTATAAAATTTTCAATAAAAAAAAATGTAAAGGGACTTTCCACACACTCCATTTGTGCTGCTGTCTGTGTTCTCACAACACCCTCCTTGGATTGAAAAAGACTCATTTGCTTACTTTTTAACTTGATGGCTTATTATCAGATTTCAGCATCCATCAGCTCTGATTTTGGTCATTCAGGCTGAAGCTAAAGGGAGACAGTCCAACTCCATGTCCCTCTTCTCATTAAATAAATACAGGTAGTCCTTGACTAACAACAATTCATTTAGTGACCATTTGAAGTTACAACAGCACTGAAAAAAGTGACATATGATCGTTTTTCACACTTACGATGGTTGCCATATCCTGGGAACATGTGATCCCCTTTTGTGACCTTCTGAGAAGCAAAGTCAATGGGGAAGCCAGATTCACTTAGCAACCATGTTACTAACTTAACAACTGCAGTGATTCACTTAACAACTATGGCAAAAATAAATCGTAAAATGGGGCAAAACTCATTTAACAAATGTTTCATTTAGCAACAGAAATTTTGAGGTCAATTGTGGTCGTAAATTGAGGACTACCTGTATTAGAGCTGTGGACTCTGTGGTCCTTCAGATTATTTCCTGTGTGCCTCCAAAGAATTATGAGGAGCTTTTTAAAAAAAGATTATGTTACATATTCTCCATAAAGCTCTGTTCACAACTGAATTGCTAAATATAATCAGTAATAAACAAACTATCCCTAATTTTATTTATATTCAAAAGTTATTCTAGCAACTTAATTTTTAAATTACAAAATCTTGTTTGTAGTTGACTATCACAATCTGACTGCATTTGGCAATAAGTCCTATTTTATTTCATTTTATCAATATTTTTTCTAGATCTAAAGGATTACCAGGAAACAACAAATCAGCTTCATGCAATGAATTTACTTTCTGAAGGTTTGAAATCATCATTGTGTGCATGTCATTTTCATTCAGTTTGATTCTTTTACACTCTGCCGTTGGCAGAAGAAAAATTAAGGTGTCATTTTTATTGTAATAATACTTCTTAATAAGATACAGAAGGTGTAGAGTAGGTTATCAGTTTTAATGATACCTGTGCCACATATAGTAGTTACTGATAACAGCAAAAACAGCAGCAGTTTTGCTACATTTTGGTCAATATAGCAAAAATGCAACCAAAGGCCATATTTACCCCAAGTGTACTAATTATATTCTGTCCAGGTTAATATTTCTAATCCAGAAATTATCATGCAGATCTTTATACTGCTTAATATCCCCCAAGATGCAGGGTTTTTTTAAACATATATACAGAGAAACCACTTCATAAGAGGATGAAATATAATCTCACTTCTGGTCTCACTGTATTGTCGTCTGTAGAACCTGAAACATCTACCTTAGCAATCACAGATGTTCTTTCCTGTTCCAATTTTGCTGTGCATCACAAATACCTTTTTAAAGAAAAGCAGTTATGGACAAAAGCTTCAGGTAAAATTTATTTCCATTTAGACCATCCATTACTTTGTATAACTATAATAATTTATCTTCTGTCACATCAAACAATTGTGCTATCATCCACTTTGATTCCCTAGGATTCTTGGAATATATGTTTAAGAAGGCAGTTTCCTACTTATTATAATAAGTAGGAAACCACTTTTCCACTTAATAATTTGAAACCCTTGTTTATAATTAGTCTTCTTATCTAAACCTTGGGCAATTGCATTTTTATTATAGTAGTTACCATAACTCAGTATTAAGATTCATGCATTGCATGAAACAATCCTCATTTTAATCTCAAATGTCTCTGTTTTCCTACAGCAATTAAAAGAGAGAGAGAAAGGAACTTTTCTAAAATTCTTTTGTCACTCCAGGAATTCCATTTTTCCAATGAGTGCAATGGGTTAAAAACAAAATAGATTTTGTAGTGATTTTGTTCTTGCAATGAAAATATATTTCTTCTTACTATTTAACTAAATACACTCCACCTATTTTTTTTTCCAGCAAATCCTTCAGATGATAAGAAAGACCTATGCAGTTGTGAGAATCTTATGAATTTCCAGAATTTCGCAACTACTGAATTTAGGAAACTAACACAGCAACATATCCTTTCTATATATCTATTAATTTTTCATATAGATTTTCAAGTCAATATATTTGAAAATGAATTATATTTCTGTTTCTGTGTAGAGATATACAGTTGATTGCACTTAGGCTGAAGTCCTATACTTAGTTCACTTGGAACTAAGACCTTCTAAAATTAACAGGACTTAACCCGTGAATTAAATTTAAATGTAAAACCAAGAATTAAAAAAATAGACAAAACTGCTTTAGAAAAAGCATCTAGGTTTAATCTTAAAATGTTTCCCACAAAAGTTGTTTTAAGCATGTTCTGGAGGGTGGCTAGGATTGAAGCCAAACATGCTTGTCATAGAAGGCTGTTCCAGAGGGCTGGGCTAACGATGGAAAAATGGAACCACCAGCTGCTTTTCCTGGCATGATCAGACTGGTCAGGCCAATTTCAGTGGAGATGAAATTGGTTTTGAAGGCATCTGTTGCCAAGCCATAAAGCAGTACTTTTCCCTTAGTTATTTGAAAATTTATTGCAGAATTTGGCTGCTAGAGTCCAGTTGACCACTAAATGGCAACAAAGAGCTTTCCTTATTTGGAATTCTCTGGATTTTTGCTGCCCAAATCTGGCATTACTAATTCTGCCCTCTGGCAACTTTATATGGTTTAGATGCAAATGCACTACTCTTTTTCTCATATCCTGTTCTTGTTCCAATCTGTTGGGGTTTCAGTACATAGAGAGAATTATGATGATGAATAATGCTAAATCTCAGGATTGGTTTTGCTGTCTTGATTTTCATGAATGGCAATACTATAAGTATCTTGCTTACTAAGTACACTGTAGTTAATGCATCTCTCGTTAAGAACATTAGTGACGATGATGAAGCACGAGCCCCCTCTAGCTGCAGTTTCAAAATACAGAAAAGCAGTTTATATAATATGGTTTGTTTTTCAGTTGGTTCCTTATGCGACCTGATGTGTTGATTGTTGATGATTATTTCTTTAAATAAGCTCATTATTGTCATTGGCAGTATCTACCCAACATGTTTTCTGTTGGCCAGTTTCATCAGCCTTTGAGTCTTCCAAGCATTGGGATGTTTTCCAATTATTTTTGCTGCAGTCTGGGCTTGAGGATATATAGCAGTGATGGCGAACCTTTTAGAGACCGAGTGCCCAAACTACAACCCAAAACCCACTTATGCATCATCGGGTGCCGGGTGGGTGTGGCCCATTGGGTGGGCGTGGCTGTGGTTGTAACAGCAGACTGTGTGGGACTAAAAAGTTCAATCAATCAATTCCAACTTTGCAAGATCTTTTTTTTTCCCCGCGAGAAGTTGAAATTGACTTACTTGCTTTCAGCCATCAAACTGATATCTGAAGTTGTTGCTCCCAACAATTTTAATTTCAACTTTCATTTCTGGCCCAGCAATTTTCATGTTCTACATACTCTTACTTCCAATTTTGGAAGCATTTAGTTGTTCCATGTTCCATTTTAGATGTTGTTCCCCGATTATAAAAATAGTTCAAAAGGTAGATGAGGTGGCTGAAAGACTCATTTTTAAGGGCTAATTAGTTGTCTCCACAGTGAAATTGTGGTATCATTACATAAATTGTTTCAATGTTCTACCAACTTTAGAAAAGGCTGAACCAGCTATTTTCACCAATCCTCCTGTTCCCAGGTCTTGGCTTTCAGAACTGAATAGGAACAGAGCTGGCAACAGCAAAGAGGAAAGGAATATTAACAAAAAATGCTGGCCTAGATATTTGTGCCAAAAGGAGTCTGCAAGATTCTTTTCCACAGTGATGATCTCATGCTCTTAGAGAGAAGCCTCAGTCTAAGCCAGTTCTGGTTATTTTCTAGGTTCAATTAAACCAGGGGTAGTTAACCTTGGCTCTTTTATGACTCGTGGACTTCAATTCCCAGAATTCCTGAGCCAGCTGTGGGAATTCTGGGAGTTGAAGTCCACGAGTCATAAAAGAGCCAAGGTTGACTACCCCTGAATTAAACTATTTAACTGCCAACATAGAAATGGGCATTTAGAGAAGTGGTTGCAAGGATTATTACAATGGGTGACATCATGCTAATTCTTTAGCATTCATTCCACAAGCCTGATTTTATTCATGTGTGTGTGTGTGTGTGTATATATATATATATATATATACACACACAAATATATATATATATTTCATATATGAAGATAAGACTGGGTGTTTATCCTGTTTCACTTGGTGCCCTTGGAAAAACCACAAACAGGATACTATTGATGCGACAATGCACTTTCCCACGTAATATATACTAATGGTTAAACAATTGTATTATAGTTTACAATTATTTGAATAGCTTTATGATCAGAAGAAAATTTTAAGTTCTACTTGTACCATTCTTGATCTTCAGTAGCTCAGCAAGGATTTCTAACTCTCAGCTATTTATTAATAACAACAAAATAACACCATCTTCCCATTGCCAAAATAAAATGTCCAAGAAGTAATCAACACTGGATTTTTTGAAATAAAGCTAGATACACAGCTAACTCTTGACTCATAGGATTTCTGGGTTTTTAATTTTAAAAGAAGTAATTGTAGATTTCCCAAGCTTGTCAATTATATGTGTAGATATTCTTAAATAATGAAGCAGTCTGAAATTGTTTTCCTTAACTTGTAGTTACTGGCAGAAATGTCAAAAAGAATAGAAGCATTGGAAAGGCAATTAAGATACTAATGAAATGTCCTTAGCAGCAATATACCTTTGTTGGATATTTATACACAAGAAAATGTATCAAAGCTATGTAGGTAGGTACATTTTGCACAAAAAGGAGAAATTGTAACTTCAGTAATTTAGAGTACCATATAATATTGTATTTTTGCATTGACGTAAGATAAAATTACAAACTTTTTAGAAAAATGAATTTTTCAATTGAGAAGCTATATAATATTGTAAAATAGTGGTATAAAAGGCAATTTTTACTATTTAGCAATCTGGAAAGGCCAAATATTGTGCACTATTCACTGTAATACTGTACTGAAAGGATGCAGTCAAATATTAGTTGATTATACTCTTCCTACAGCTAGCACTTCTTCCCATAAGTGATTGATGATAGGAAAATTGGGAAGAAGTAACCAATTTAAGGCACACTCCCTACGTTCATGTTAACCACTAAGTATTTATATGTGGGATAGGGTTTGGGGATACAATGTATAAAATGTAATTTTATCGCTAGAAATACATACCAAAAGTTTGAATACCTTAGCTTTTTAAACAAATATTCTCAAACAGCTGTATCATACAAGTATTCTAACAGTGTTGGCCAACGGATACTTGGAGGAATGGATAGCCATCACAAGGGAAAATTCATTTCAGAATGAAGATTTGTATTATTAAAAGTTCAGAACAAATTAGCAAGTGCCTTAGCTCTGAATTATGCCCAAAATAAATTGCGTCCAATAATGTTTGTCTCACCAACTATTGTTTTTCTTTCAGTTCATAAGTTATTCTGTCTGGCTTTCTTGTTCTAAATAAAAGGCTGAATTTGCTTAAGTATATCCTAATTTACTGTTAATGTGTGGAGGTTCCCCCAAGTGAAGAAAGGTAAAGTCACCCTTATTGATAATACAGAATTAGCATGAGAGTCAAAGGACTAAAGGCTGATGCAAAGGGTGAATTAATTATTCTTGAGGCCTAAAAGTTGCTTAGATAAAGTGTTTGCTTGTTGAATTTTACTTTTTCTACAATATTTAAACAGGACTTTGCCTCACTGCACCCTCGGTTACTTTTTTTCCTTTCTTCCTATCACTTACCATTTCCTTCTACCTATCTCCAGCCTAGCATTTTTTTTTTCTATTCTGCAACAGAGTTGCAAGTCTCTCAGCACACTTAGAATTTCTTTTCCCACTGAATGTGAAACACTGCATAGCCCTAATTAGAAGATGGTTGGTTGGTTCCTTCCTTCCTGCATGTATACAACTAAGTGACTCTAGATCAGGGGTGTCAAACTGCTGGCTCACGGGCCAGTTTCATCATACCGAAGCCACGCCTACCCCATTGCCGCCAATGCAAAAAGAGTCGCAATACGTCGTGACACGTCACGTGAAGTGGCGAGTTTGACATCCATGCTCTAGATCAGTGTTTCTCAACCTTGACAATTTTAAGGCATGTGGACTTCAACTACCAGAATTCCACAGCCAGCATTGCTGGCTGTGGAATTCTGGGAGTTGAAGTCCACATGCCTTAAAATTGTCAAGGTTGAAAAACACTGCTCTAGATGGTTTCTAATCACAAAATCAACCATACATTTAAAAACCTCTGCTGGTTTTTAAATGCTCTGTATAATCTGAATATGCTTACATATGTACATGCACATTTATGAAGTAGGTGCTCCATAATTGATGAGAAAGCTGGATATTGTAGGAGTTTGTGTTTGTATTTTTTTATGTCATCTCTCCCATTCAGATACAGTACTCAATCAGCAGAGCCAAATGTGGCTATATTCTTTAATCCCATTGGTCTTTAACTCCTAATCAAATTATTTTATTTAGATCAGGGATACCCAACCCCCGGTCCGTAGACTGGTACCGGGCCATGGTATGCCAGCAAGCGGTCCGCAAAAACAAGCCCCATTCGTGGGATGCAGGCAGTACACAAAACTATGCACCCTCCAATCCACGGAAAAGCTCCTCTCTTTACTATTTGATTTCTCCATCAAACTTTGCATATAATTTGTTGTGTCTGACTTATAAAAACTCATACCAACAATAGATTTATAGCCAGTTTTATTACACAAAATTTAAAATTTATTAATTTTACTTCTCACTGGTTTGTTCTGGCATGCTTCTAATGATGTCAGAGTCACCTGTTGGGGAAAACATATTTCAGTATCAAAATTTCACAAACGCCTTTGTCATGCAGAGTTTACAGTATTACAAAGTTCAATCAGTTAATGTAACTTGCAGGTAAAAATCAGAACTAGAAAGACCAACTAGTTCTGAGGACACAGTGCATAGTGGTAATATAGCGAATGTCTAGCCTGTCCTGATTACTGAAAACCCAGAACAGCGAGAATATTCGCATTTAACGTTGCATCAAGATAAATTAATTTCTCACAATTATATAATACATATAGTTTAAATCCTTAGCCTCTGACAAATTACTTTCTAATGCGCTTTAAGAACTCTTACAGAAAATAATGAACTTAAGTTACCAGATGCTTAATTTTAGAATTATTTGCTCCACTGGACCTACAGGCCCGGTATCAATTTCAATGTCCTCCTGACAAACAGATTTTCTTCTAATCAGGACAAAGGTTATTCTAGTAAGAATATAAATCTTTTTTGTTTATTGCATTTTAAGATGTTGACATTAGTTTATTAAAGTTTAAGTAACAAATTATCAACTTCCCATCGAAGTCATGAGTTAAGATCAGCAGGGGAGAATCTAATGGTGTTCCCATCAATGGTTCATGGGGCAACAGCCAGAAGTTGACCTTTCTCAATGAAAATGCTTTAGTTATGGACCTCTCTCCCTAGAGTAGTTTGACTTGCCCCAGGTTCTCATTTTTTAGGAAACAGTTGCCAGGTATAACTACTATTCTGAGGCCACACTATCTTTAAGACTGCCTATGGTTTTACTTCTATTTAATTTTAAAAACAGACTTAAGTTTTGTACAGGTAGTCCTCCACTTATGCTCAAAATCGAACCCAACATTTCTGCTGCTAAGTAAGAGAGTTAAGGGAGTTTTGCCCCATTTTACAATCTTTCTTGCCAGTTGTTACGTGAATGATTGCAGCTATTAATAACATGGTTAAGTAAATCTGGCTTCCCCATTGGTCACAAAAGATGATCACATGATACTGGGACACTGCAACTGACATAAATATGAGTCGGTTGCCTAGCATCTGAATTTTGATCACATGACCATGGGGATGCTGCAATGATGTGAAAAGTGATCATAAGTCATTTTTTTCAGTGACATAATTTTGAACAGTCACTGAACTGTTGTAAGTTGAGCACTACATGTATTTACTGATTCAATCGTCATTTAGCATAAATGTAATTAACATATATAAGTATAAATATTTATTAAAAACCTGAAAGGTGTACTGACATTTTACAAAACAAGCCCACCATCACAATATAATGTTATTTGATGGTTCTTAAACCACACATGAAATAAAATTATATGATTTTTGCTTTACAAACACTATTCATTTTGTATTAGCATACTGAAGTGCAGAGTTCTCAATTGAACTCTACCAGTTCAATTGAACTGATAGAGAATCCTAGTGAACAGAACAAGATAAAAGGCAAATCAAATTTAAAAAACAGCTGCATCTAGACACTAAGATATTAAGTACAACATACATACCTGGGTCAATTATAGCAAGTGTACATACTCTGTAGTACTTCCCACAAGCTGTTCCCAGTTCAATATTGTTGCCACTGTAGTGATGCACACCAGTTTTGGCCAACATAGCATAGTACTCAATTTCTGATTTTCTAACGGTACAAAAATAAACATAGAATACTTATTTGTTCCAGATTAAGTCACATTTTACTTTTACTCAATCTCCTATTAGGACATTAACAACTAGTTTTTATTCATTTATTAAAATGCATAGTCATCGGTTTATCAAACGGAACTCTGTAAAGCGAACAAAATAAACACACAAGACAACTATTTAATTCAATCTCAATTTACACTGCATTAATCTTTATGGGACTAATGCATTATGAAGGCTAGATTAAACCTAGTTTAACCTACAATATAGGTTAGAACTTAGGTTTGAGGAATAAGTTTAGTTTCTCTCAGCTATTAGCCAAAGAACACGATAATTGGCGCTGGCAATATTCTATACATCTAGTAGTGCTTATTGAGCTGCACAGATAATTTTGCAAAATAAGATCTCATACAGGCTTTATACAATAATATAATATTGTATTGTATTTATATAATTGCTATACGCAAGCAGAACATACTTTATCAATTCTAATACACCAATATAATACATTTCCCATGAGCATATCAACCTATAAAGGCATCAGTTTTCTTTTATTACATCTATTGAGAACTTTTATCTTCACATTACCCTATCACATATACTAGACTTCCTGCTTTTTTTAAAAAAAAAGAAAAGAAAATCAAGATTATAACCTACAAGATCACAAAATTAGAGTGTTGGAATGTCCCATCAACCCTCCCTTCGGCAACAAATTGATAGCCGGCATCTGCTTGATTAATATATTTGAAAAGCTATCTACAAAAGCCAAAACTATCTACATGTCCAGTAAATCTTTTTCATTTGATGGTAAGACATTTTCATTAGTACTATAAAACAACTCTTTTATGTGATCCTATAAGACAACTACTATTCAAAAAATGCACACATACCTCAAAGCAGGACAGTTATTCGCTAGAATAACCAACTTGGCTTTGCCCTGCCGAATCATTTTCAGAGTTTGTTTATATCCAAGTACATATTTACCACTTTTCATAACCAGCTGAAGTCTAGAGTTTATGGACTCTAAAGACTTTTTCTGTAAAAAAAAAAAAAGAGTGGATGTATAGAATGTTTTGTGCATTTTATGTATTAAATTTTATGCCACCCATCTCACTGCAACTCTGAGCAGCTTACAATAAAAAGTAAAAAAAGAAAGATAATACAAGGCAATTAAAATTAGGAGAGTTAAATGGGAAAGCTAAAACCCAAGACGATGGGTGACCTGGGGTTGGGGATTTTCTCTATCCCATCAGCCACGGTCAACATAGCACACTCCATTAGGGCCCCAAGTCAGCAGAGCCCAAGTTTTCAGGCTCTTCCCAAAGGCAAGAAATATTGGGGTGGACCTCACTCCAGCAGAATATTCCATAGGGGGGGGGCACAGCAAAAAAGACTCTTCTCTTGGACCCCGCCAGTTGAAATTATTTAGCAGATTGGATCCAAAGTAGGCCCCTTCTACTGGAGCAAGCAGTGTGGGCTAGTCCCATCAGGATGACATAGCTCTTCAGACATCCTGGACCCATGCCATAAAGGGCTATAAATATCTTGAATTGGACCCAAAATCAAACTGGCAACCAGTTCAGTATTCATAACAGCAGTGTCACATGTGCCATTAAAAGGGTCTCCAGAACTGTCTACAGTGCTGCATTTTGTACCAATTGTAGCATCTGAACACTCTTCAAGGGTAGCCCCATGAAGAGCATGTTGCAGTAATCCAATCATGAGATGATCAGAGTAGGGCTCCTATTCCAGGATGCAACTGGCACACACAACACATAACTATGCAAAGGCTCTCTTAGCTCTTCTATAATATATAATACCTTGTCTACTTTTTCTTTAGATGCCTGGTCCTATATGCTGACCCCACCACAAAATGTAACATTTTATTCAACATTAATAGTTTCCAAGCCTTTTTTTAACATGGTGCAATGCAGCCACAATATCTTAAAAGAATCTCATTTAAATAACAATATTTTTTTAATTTTCTCTCTCTCAAAAGCTCAATCAAGAATTGTTAGAATGTAACTGTGTCTTCCAGTCTTAAAAACTAAGTGGTTTGAGAGCAAAAACTAGTCATGTGTATAATTCTATTATAGTCCTTGTTCAATCTTCTACCAAGTCATAAAGAGACAATTTATAAATTGCTTAACCAGTAGTGTTAAATAGATCCAAATACTGGCGTTTCTTTTCATCCTAATACACTTTCAAAAACTGAGCAATCTTTTAAAATGCCTATAAACTGAATGCATTTATTCAAAAGCATGTCAGTTTCAGAAGAACTATTTTTTTTAATAAAGCATATTTGCATTAAAAAAAACTCAGTGCAAGGTCCGAAGATATGGAGAGACCTGGCCCATAGAACCACCAAGAGTCAGATATGACTGAATGGATATCAATATCATTATCAATCTTGCCACGACACCCTTGCTAGTTGATTTATGGAATACTATATATTTTAAGACATTTTAATGTATATTTTACCTTTACATTATGCAGAGACTTATGCAATCCAAACTCAGTACTATTTAAACAGCTATGGCAAAGCCTTGGCTACGTACATTTTTCATAGCTGCAACAAAGCCTCGACCTTCCATATCATTCCTGTCAGTATGGGCGCATATACAGCACAGATGGTACCAGAATGCAGCAAAACCTAGGGCCATCACCCAAAGAGCTACAAACTGACTCTTACGTGCTTCTATATCTTATAGCAGGGGTTCTCAACCTTGGCAACTTTAAGACTTGTGGACTTCAACTCCCAGAATTCCTCAGCCAGCTTTCTGGGAGTTGAAGTCCACAAGTCTTAAAGTTGCCAAGGTTGAGAACCCCTGTCTTATAGCATCTATCTTTGCGATTCCATATGACAACCGACATGGAAGCAATAACTAAGGCAGAAAGCTCCGAAATGGACAGGGGTAGGCAACCTTGGCTCTTTTATGACTTGTGGACTTCAACTCCCAGAATTCCTCAGCCAGCAAAGCTGGCTGAGGAATTCTGGGAGTTGAAGTCCACAAGTCATAAAAGAGCCAAGGTTGCCTACCCCTGGCTTAGGTGTTATGAGCCACCCTCCGCCCCGTTTGATCAGAAATGTGTCGCCTCGAGTCAGAGGCCTTTCGCAATAGTTGGAGCGCTCCTATCTCCCTCCACAAGCTCTCGGACTCAGTATCCCCCGGTTATCCCCTCTATCGTTAGGTCAGCCGGCCGACTGGCTGGCACGCTCACTCACCGTCTTCTTGGCGGCCACCATCTTGCCGGCTCACGTCGGCCCTGCCGTTGCCTGCGCAAAAGGAAAACAGTCAACACTGCGGCCGAGCACAGCCGTTACCCACCCGCCAAACGCAGCCCACACCCAAGGCGCCTGCCCCCTCCTCCCAAAGGCCCAGGACCCGCTCACCAGAGGAGCGCCTCCAAGATGGCCGGGCAACGAGGAAAGGAAGGAAGTCAGTCCCTCGCCGTAACGCGTAGAACCACGCGGGTCAGCACGACCGACAACGACTCTCGCGAGAGCAGACACCTCGCCTCGCCCCCCCCCCCTCCGTCCGAAAACTCTCTCGGCTTTCTCGCTGACATTGAAGATGCGCGCGCAACAATCGCGAGACAACCGCGCTTCGTAAAATTAGCGGTTTTTCGTAGGTTCACAGCGCAAAGGGTAAAGCAGCGTTTCTCAACCGTGGCAACGTTAAGAAGAATGGACTTCCACTCTCAGTCGAAGTCCATACATTTTAAAGTTGCCAAGGTTAGAAATGAATCATTGGAGGATGTCAGTTTGGCTGTATAGAACTGCTGCATAAAATTTTAGGGTTCGTTATTAGCATTTTAATATAGATGAAATTAGCAATTTAGCATAGCATCCATGCCTCTTTTTCAAGTTTAGGAAACCATGTTTTTCCTTTGAGCCAAAGCAGTTTCCTTTAATGAGCAGAAACTAGCCCTTTCAAGGACTGTCAAGCAATAGGGCTGTACTGTATTCTGAAGTCCTTCGTTAAAGTTGCAAGCTTAAAGAAACAAATCAGATGGGAAAAGAGGTGAAACATTTTTAAATAAGGCTGTCTTTTCTCAAGTCTTACAAAGCAAAGTATTGCACATCAATGTCTTATAGTTTGTTTGTTTCTTTCTGACACATTACACACACCTAATATATGTATCATTTATTTCTATACCCTATACAAAGACATCACCACCCCCTTAATGCCTTTTGCTTTGCCTCAAGTACTTGTGGTTTGTGTTGTAGGTGGTAGTAGTGATGGAAAAGGTACTTTGCAAAGATAATCGGTGTTTTTCAGATTCTAAGACTAGGCTCTTTTTTTAACTCCGGATCAACTTGGTGCCTGAGTTTTAAGGGTAACAACTGCATGTAGAGAGATTTGTCTCTGGAGAAAAGTAAAGTCCAAATTGATAATATTTGAAATCCTGAATATTTTCAAACGAAAATTACAGTGCCATACTGTACATTCTTACTTGGATTATTGTCCCAGCAAACTGGATTATTGTCCCAGCAAACCGGATTCATTTAAACTTTTGTGTGCGTTAATTAACATGCAAAATTTAAATGTCTTTAAAATCTTTAATTTGCAAAATAGAGGGGATTTGGGATTGTGGAACAAGTGCATAGATTTGTTCTAAGCCATGAGTTTTAAAGCATTACAATGGGAAAATCATGACATTAACAATTACTGTATAATTTCATTGGTAAACAATTAAAACATCCAAAATGTGGATACTATAAGCATAGAAGATGGCACTGTGTTCGCTAGGGAAAGATGAACTAGTTAACCAGCTAGGTACTGACTGCCATCTAGCTGGAACTGAATTCTTAATATAGGAAGACAAATATCTTACCAGTACATCAAAGACCTGATTGATAACTCCCATGATTTGAATGTAGTAACTGAATAATACAGTTTGATCAAGAGGAATAGAATAAATATAAGTGTTGAATGATTGTATTGGAATTTTAAAAATAAAGCTAATATGATTGATTCAAAATAAAGAAAACTACTCAATGAAAATGGCAAAACACTAACTAGGAGCAAAGAATTCATTTGGATTCCTGCACAAGGATGGTAGTTTGGACTTCAGTCTAAATGTCTTCCTCTAAATGTATATGATGCAGATCCTGTCCTGGTCCTCCTACAACAGGCTACTACATCTAATAGTGTGGTATTCTCTTATCATCAAAGTGACAGTAAGGTTTGATGGGCAATCCAGTCAACTTTTATATATAAAAGAGGTAGAATCTTACTTTTTTTAATTTCAGGCAACAACATATCTTCATCTATTAAAACAATGCTATCAAGTTATTTTTCTCAAGTCTATAAGACTCTGAAGTCTGTTAGTTTGCAATGGAGAAAAAGGGCCATTTAAGTTAGCTGTATTGTCTATTCATTTGATCTACAGGTAGTCCTTGACATTTAATCATTTATTTAGTACCATTCAAGGTTACTATGACTGAAAAAAATGGCCTATGACCAGTACCCACACTTATTGTTGCTGCAGCATCCCCACATTCATATGATCAAAATTTGGATGCTTGGCAATCGTCATATATTTACGATAGTTGCAGTGTCCTGGGGTCATGTGAACCCCATCAGTAGCCTTCCCCATCAGCTTCCAACGAGCAAAGTCAATGGGAGAAGCAGAATTTGTTTAACAATTGCATGATTCACTTAACAACTGCCTTGCTTAGCAACAGAAAGTCTGGTTCCAATTGTGATTGTAAGTAGAGGGCTACCTGTACAGTTTACCTTACTACTGCTACTTTTCAACTTAGTTTGGTACTTTACCACTATGAACATTGTTGATCCTAATATCATATTCTGAACCTCCCAAACACTGTAAAATTAGCAGACATTGGACATTTCTTTCATGCATTTCTCTCATCAAACAAGCCAAAGGGCTTTGTTAAAATTACATTTTGGCAACCACACTAATTAGTTTTCTTCCTATGGGATTAAAAGTGGCAGACTGAGGTTCATGATAAATTATCATGTATAAAGGAAGTGTAAACATGCTCATTCAATTACCTCTGATGCATGTACTGTCCTATTCATTTGGTGTCTAGAAACCAAATAGACCTCATTGTTCCAAATCCAACACAATGAGAATTTTGGAAGGTTGCAATCTGCTGAATCAACATTGACATTTTTGTCATTCTATCACCAATCAGAAAAAAAGATTTTAAAAATCTAGGAACACAAAGAGCACAGAAGTATAGATAAAACCTAGAAAATAATAATCAACTCCTACTGCACATCTCAAAACATAATATAAAATTTGATATAGTATTAAAGTGTTGGACTCAAAACTAACAGATTATGAGTTCCTGTTCTTCCTTTGGCATTGAAACAGCTGGTGACTTTGGGCCAGTCACTCTCAGTCCAACCCATCTAACAGGATTGTTGTGAAGAAAATAGAAGGAGTCAGCATTATGTACACTGCAAAAAAAAATTAAGGTAAAATACGAATCAAATAAATAAAATACAGCAAATAGATGGATAATATAACCTAACAAATACATATGTTCATTTATTTAGAGTATATTAAACCTACTTTAATGCCTTGTAGTGACTTATAGAAATACAGTTAAAGCATTATTAAAACATTATTGAACTAAAACAATGTATATTTTCAAATAATTAAATTGTTTTGAAAGTTAAACAGGCCTGGATTAACATATGTTTCGAGCCAATTACTAAACTCTAATAAGGAAGGGACTTGTTCCAACTCCAATGCCAGTTTGTTCCACAGTATGACCTACATAATGAATCAAGCAGAATTAACAACTGATGTCAGATGTATCCAAGGGAAGGATCAGCAAAATGTGTTTCATTGAACTAAAGGTGCAGAGTGGACACTATGAGATTGGGTGGTCTGGTACCCATGAAAAACCTATTATGAACAACTTGAAATGGGCTTCACACTCAACTAGCAACATAGGAAGGCCTTCAGGAAGCATCACTCACAACCCATACTGTCGCATTCTGGGCTAGCTGCCATTTCTAATTTCAAAAGCTGTTGCTGTCCCACAAAGAACACACTACTGCATAATAACCCAACCTTCAAGTTATCACTGCATAAGCTGCCGAAGTTAGGTTTCTTTCCTCCAAAATGGATATAGTTAAAGAGCAGAACCTAATAAATGATCCTCCTTGCTACTTATCAGGCTGTCCAGCATTAAAGATGGATCCCAAACTACCCACCAAATGTAAACCTGATCATTAAGAAGGAATGCATCCCATCCAGAATAGGCATTTCTTTTCAATTCTGAAGTCCAGCCCTTTCAATCAATAACAATTTGTCTTATCTGCACTGAGTGTCAGTTTATTTTTCCATATCTAGTCCCTTACTGTCTGGAGGCAATCAGAAGTCTTGTGGCATCTAAGCCAGAACCTGTAGGAAAGAAATATAACTGACATCATCAGCATATTAATAACAACCTTCCCAGTGGCTTCATACCGATGTTAAATAACATGGGAAACCAGATGCAAACTAACAACCAATCCATATGTACCCCAACTGAACTACTAAATCAAGCCTATTTATCCACAGTCCATAGGTATATTTGCAGGTCATGTACATGATACTACCTGGCTTTTGCCCCAGCTTCATTTATTTCTCCCATCAATGTTCATCCAGAGATGGTTTATAATATGACCTGCAATCAGTCCCAGCCTTTCGTTCAGGAATAGCCTAATTATCTATACTAATATCCATATCACTTCCTAGCAAAAAAGAGAAAACCATTTCCCCGAAACTCAAAGGAGTAACTTCCAAGGCCAGCTCCCTTGGATAGCTGGATATCTAAAGCGAACAGAGAGGGACACTATATGCTCTAAGCCTAGAGCCTCTAAATATCCATCCGTCTTTGGAAAGGTGTTCAGAGCAGGTGCCAAAAATATCCAAGGTATGCTGATGCAATGCAGGCTGTTGGTGGTGATAGAGCTGTAACAAAGGAGGTAGAACTCCTGGTGCTGAAAGACCTCCTTGAAAACTGCCATAAACCTTCTTGCCAGGTGGCATAAATTTTGAGGAGAAACTTTTTAAAGATGTTCTAATATGCCAGACTTCATCCTTGTAAATGTCCATTCTTCATTTTGATCATGGCATAGATCATTGATTTTGATAAAACTGGATTCAATTGCGGACCATGAAAACAGTACCACTACACTAAATGGACCAAAGCCTGATGCAGATTTTTTTTGTTCCTAAAATAAAATGCAAATAAGATATGACAAAGTATTAAAGAGAAATGCATTACTTTGATATATTATTTAAATATAGTGACATACAGATGCTCTATAGGTAGCCCTCAATTTATGACCATTTGATTAGTGGCTGTTAAAACTCACAGTGGCATTAAAAATGTGATTTATGACCAGTCCTCGCACTTATGATATCACAGGTCCCTGCAGTCACATGATCATAATTTGAGTGCTTGGTATTTACAATGTTTGCTGGGTCCTGGGATCATGTCATCACCATTTGCAACTTTCCCAGCTGGCTACCAACAACCAAAGTCAAAGGGGAAGCTGGATTTGCTTAACGATCATGCAAATCACTTAATAGCTGTGATGATTCACTTAATGACTGTCTTAGTTGGCAATGGAAATTACAGTGATTGTAAAAGCAGATGCAATTTTATCCATTTAGTATAGCTATCTTTTCACAATAGTAACTCTCAATTAGTGCTGATAATGAATTCTCCCAAAATAATTGCATATTCATATTTACACTACTGATACAACAACAACAACAACAACAATCATCATCATCATCATCGTCGTAATAATAATAGAGTTGGAAGGGACCTTGGAGGTCTTATAGTACAACCCACTGCTCAGGCAAGAAACCCTATACCATTTCAGACAAATGGTTGTCCAGTCTCTTCTTAAAAACCTCCAGTGCTGGAGCATTCACAACTTCTGGAGGAAAGTTGTTCCACTGATTAATTGTTCTGTCAGGAAATTTCTCCCTATTCTAGGTTGTTTCTCTTTCATTAGTTTCCATCCGTTGCTTCTTGTCCTGCCCTCATTTGCTTTGGAGAATAGCTCGACTCCCTCTTCTTTGTGGCAACCCCTGAGATATTGGAACACTGCTATCATGTCACCCCCCGTCTAGTCCTTCTTTTCATTAAACTAGGCATATCCAATTCCAGCAACCGTTCCTTATATGTTTTAGCCTCCAGTCCCCTAATCATCTTTGTTGCTCTTTGTTGATTGATTTGTTTGATTTGATTTATATTCCACCTTTATTTTGTACAATTCAGGGTGGCATACATAATGCTCCTACCTGTTTCCCACAACAAGAATCCTACTGGTATGAGTTGAGCTGAGCTGAAAGAGAGAAACTGGCCCAAAGTCACCCAGACATTTCTGAGTCTAAGGGAGAACTAGAACTCATGATCTCCTGGTTTCTAGTGGTTTACCACTGTCTCCTTCAAGGATATTTTTTTCAGTTCCCAGTCTAGTCTACTGGAATACTTTAGGGGTCTCCCAACCAGAAAACTAACTTCTGGTTAGCTTTCAGAAGTGGTCTGCCTTTGTCTGAAGGTTAGAGAAAGTGATCAGTCCAAGATCCTCCAGATGGCTCTGGGTCTAAGGTAGAACTAGAACTCAAGGTCTCCCAGTTTCTAGACTGGTACCTTAACTATTATTTCAAACTGGTTCTAATAGTTACTATACCATAGCTGGGCCTAATAGTTATTCTTGATATGAATAATGCTTACAGAATCTGTTTGATCATTTCTATGGAAAATTAAGTAATTGGTTCTAGCTCTACAGAAACAATAAAAATTTTAAACATAAATTTTGATATGTTTGTTAATGAAACACAAGAGTAAAAGATTAAAAGAGTAGATGGTAATGCAGGTAGTGATAGCAAGATTGTTACCTAGACCACCCTTTTGCTTTTTTACATGGTTTTGGTGTTTTTTTAAATACTTATTGCTTTTTATTACTTTCTAATGTGTATGTGTAGACACACATTAGAAAGTAATAAAAAGTAAAATAGAAATATAATAAATTATACCAGTCAACTTGTAGAATCCAACAGATATCCAATAAATATTCAGTAACTTCTGTTACTTTTTATGTTTATGACTACATCTGAAAGTACATGCTATGTACTTTGTACTAATGTTTGCATTGCATGTATTTTCTAATCGAACACAAAAGCTGTTTGCTTTGGATTAACTGTTTTCTGCAAACTTGCCTCCAGTTTATATGCTCCATACTTCCCATCTGGCTGGCTGGTATGTTGCAAATGTTTAGAAGGTTAAACAATTACTAGCTGCATCACCCACATGGACCACCTGATGCAACAGCTATTTAAGATAATTAAAGAACCTGCAATATTTGTTTTGCTTTTCTTTTACCAGGAAATAAACTAGTTTTCAAAACATAAATCATAATGGTTACCATACCCGAGCACTACAAACCAAGTCACCGAACAACCAAGTAAATGAGTAACTGTTTAATACAATAGTGCTGTTGTCTGTGTCAAGGCCAAATGGCATCCCACCACGGGCACACAACACCCAGATGCTCAGTGCCCGTTATCAAAATACTATAGGGAAAAAAATTACAAAAGAGAAGTAATAATAAAAGGTAGTATTGGCCTTGTCAAACATAAATTTTAGGGGCTCCCTAAGTGTCCTTTGTTGAGGACTGCACTGCCCACCTGCAGGTCAGCCCCAAATAATCTGAGGCCTTGTTTTTTTAATTGCATTCACCACCATGGCAGCCATACCAAGAAAGACGTTTGACACTTTGGGATGTGCCCTTCCTGGCTGAGGAAATACAGGCCCACATATCTGGTGGAAAGTTGGTTGTAGCTATGGATGCTTTTAGCACACTGAAGTGGTGGTTACTTCAGATGATTTGCGACATGGTGAAAAAGCAGGGTAGAGTTGTTGAAAACGATCACTGTCGTGTCAAAAAGGAGTTGGGGATTGTGCATCCCTGGAATCAACCATGAGGGCAAGTTGGCGGCGGGGGGGGGGAAAGGAGGGGGGGTCGCTTGGCGAAACGTCCCAGGCAGACTAGGCTGCCTTCAGCCCATTTAGCAGAATCGCCGCGGGTGGCTGCCATTAACTCCCTCGCTCTCCTGCTGTCCCGGCTCCGGCCCGCCGCAGATGCGCCTGCGCCCCGCACCAAGACCGGGCATGCCAAAAGTCTGAGAGGAGGCATGTTGGAAACTACCCCTCGCTGAGCCGTTCTTATGGCAACCGAGCTGGAGCGATAAACACTCTCCCGCGCGAGCGTCCGAGGGGTGAGTTTCTCGGCCAGCGCAACGCGGGAGGGGAGGTGTGTGCTTTGCTTGGGCTTTTTTCCCTGTCCAAAGAGGAACCACCTGTGCGTATCCCTTTCTAGCAGGAAGCGGAGAGCGGATTCGCCGGGGGGGGGGGGGTCTCACCTGCGGCCACAGCCGAGAAGACTCACCTGGGTGCCTGGCGCCCTTGGGACCAGTGTGCGCCCCGGAGCCGGGGCTAACCACGCCATGGGGTGCTCGAGTAGCGCTCAGACTAAAGTCAAGGAGTTCGACCGACAAACTCCCAAGTCCCCGGAGGCCAACGGATTGCCCCAGTGCGGTGAGTTCTCGGCGGTTTTTATTTAACGTGCGCCAAAGCGGAGGAATCGCCCTCGCAAGAGGTATCGCTTCGAGAAGCGGAGTTTGGGGAAAGAGGGTGTAAGACATTCAAGGCTGGGGAAAAAAACTGGCTGATAAGAGGGCTAAATCAACGCGGAGAAGGAGTAACAATTTTAGGAAAGGCAGCTTTTCCCCCCCCCCCCCACGTCTGCATCTGAAGAGCGACTTACGTTGTCTTTATTATTTCAGGACAGCCTGTACTTTGAGAGCTGTATGCAACGAAATCTCATTTTAATGTATGCTGATTAGTGTACATTTAAAGTGACAAAGTATTCTATTCTATTCTATTCTATTCTATTCTATTCTATTCTATTCTCTGCCCTAGTTGACTTCCCCTTTGTGTATCCCATTCCATTATCAGAGGGCAGGTCGTTTCCAGCCCCCAACTGCAAAGGTTAAGCTTTGCTCTGGTCTTGCCCCCATTTATACCATTGTCCATTCTCTATGGCACTTAGAAGAAATCAAAAGAGGAAACCACTTAATCGTTCATTATGGATTGACCTAGTCATAAAATTCTATTCTAGAAACAGGCAGTAGGTCCTGGGGAATAAATTCTCACTTTGTTGAATGATTCTATTTTAACAAATTAACATAGGACCGTTATCCTTATTTATAACAAATAAATAATGACGTATTGCTCTCTTGACAAGATGGTTTGTCCTTAATGTTTATTTTCAGCATTTTCTGGCAAATTAAGAAAAACAGTGGTTGAACTGGAACTGCTAAAATTCTGAGATGAATTGTACTGAAACTAATGAGGATTATGCATCAGTTTTAAAGAAAGCTATGTAAAGATATGCTTTCTTCAAAATCAACTCATGTAGAAAATGTTGATAACAATTGCATTTTTGTGTGCACTTTGATGTGATAAATTCTAAGTATGGTAAACCTTATTTCTGACTAATTTTAAAATAAACATTCTCTATTTTTGTAATTTAAAGTCTTAAATCAGTTTTCTCATTTCTGTTTTTGAGGAACTATACAACTGCTAATATATGACAATTTTAGAAAAGTTTTAAATGATATTCTAACTCTTCTGAATTATCTCTTAATCCATTTGACATGCTTTGATAATATATTACATGAAAGGCCAGTGACATACAATATATGATGCTAGGTCTAACCATATTTTTATAATTGTACTGTCAGGAAAACAGCATTGAAATGTGAAGGAAAATCTGCTAAAATCTGGTGCAGTTTTTTAATGCTGATCTCAGAATGGTGGCTATGCTACAAACGACTCTGGGCAGCTTACAAGCCAGTAATCATTAAAATGATAAATAACAATAATAATAGTATCTGAAGTAGTATATATATTTATTCAGGATAATATAATTTACAAATATTGCAGAAAATAAACCTGTCCACATGGGACCTGCAATAAAATGTTGGGTTATGAAGTGATTTTGATCAGCTTTCAGATGCTTTAAGCATCTCTTCTCTTAAGATACTGCATTCTATTTCTTTTACTATTTGGATTTCTACCCGCAGCAGGTAATAATTTATATGTATGAAAATGTTCTTTAGATTGCTTTTTTGACCTTCCCCTTCAAGGATTTCCCCCCCCCCTGATTTTGTATATGTATATATATTGTGGAAAACGTAAGATTCCTCCATCATATCCCATCACAGTGAAAGGACTCCTGGTAGTTAGCACGATATAAAGAAAAGCAACTGTAAGCAGATATAAAAAGTAAATAACAGTGAAATCAAAAATAAAACAAACATAAAAGTGCAGATGGCTGAATATTGTACAATGCCCTCTGGAACAGTTTCAGCATTTTTCTGAACATAGAAAGAGGGTCAGTCTGATCTCCACAGAAAGAGCAGGCCTTAGCTCATTTACCTACGTGTAAGCACAGTGATGTACATGTATTTAAAATATATACAGTTCTGTCCATATTATTTCCCAGTGATTAGTTATTGCAAAGCAACATGTAGTACTTTAAAGAATAATTGTTTCATAAGTTATAATAAATCATATGGGTGGGATGAGAGGTAAGTAAATAGCAAATTCAGAAAGAAACAAAATGCAAAACAGTCATAAAAAATAAGTCCATGATTAAAAGTGGCCGAAAATATTTATATCTGTTTCTCTCTCTTTCTTCTTTAAAACACCCATTTGATGAACATTGGGAAACCAGATGACAGCTTGCCTATCACAGATAAAAATGACACAGGATCTGACCAGACTAAACTTGAACCTCTGGAGGAGGTGAAGCTTGGATCTTGGAAAAAAACAGATGAGGATCTCCATAAAGAGGAGCCTGATGCTTTGATTCAGGAAATAACAAAATGTGACCTTTCTACCTGTCACAGAGTAGATCCCGAGGGTACAGAGCCTCAGCTAATGGCACCAGAAGAAAAGTTTGACAGAAGTCAATGCTTATCTTTAGACTTCCTTGAAGCTGCTGGACCTCAGGCTGTGGAGTCAACAGAGTTGGCTAGCAATCCTCAAGTTGCTGCAGAAGCTGCTGGTTCTTCACCTTCAGAACCTCTCCAGGATAAGAAGCCTGAACCTACTGAAACCTCAGAAGGTGGCACCCCTGAGCCTTCAAAAGAGGAAATCCGATGTTTTGTAACAGAAATTGTGACGGAACTGCTTATGGATGAAGAGGAACAGCTAACAGAGGGTAATAAATATTCTCTTGCAATTTCAAGGGACAGGTTCTGCCACACATGCTCAAACAATTATTTTGACAAGCAAATAGCAATAGCACATGTATATACCGCTTCACAGTTCTTTACCGCCTTCTCTAAATAGTTTACAGAGTCAGCATATCGCCCCCTAACAAACTGGGTCCTCTGCCTGGAAGCAGAAACGTTTGCTCAGTGAATGTGAGCAAGTATTTGAGTATTTGAAAGTAATAACAGTAATTTATCCTGGAAAAGTAATTAAAGACTATAATAGCTGTTCAAGATTAAATGACCACATGCTATTTGTTCCTCCTTCCAATAACTCTCACCAGATAAAGTGGTAATTAGATAGTAACTTTAAGTGGGAAAGGTCTATCTAACGTATATTTAGCGAATATATGCAAATGGGACAAAACCATCTCAATCATTGCTAAGGATAATATTGTATTTCAGATCAGATAAAATTATTCTGATGCTTGTATGAATTGTTGACCCAAAATATAGTACTGTGTTGTCTGGTTCACACTACTGGAATGTTTGTTTTTGTTTTTGCCAAAGTGCCATATTGCATTGATTTATGTTACGTCTTGTTCACTCTAACGATGCATAGAAATCGAGAAGATAATGGAAAGGAGGAAGTAAAGGTGATCCTGCATTTTTACATAAGACCTGACAAGCTTTTTTAGGATAATTGTGACCTACAAATACAGATTCTTATACTGTACCAGTATGATGACAAGATCTATGAAAATGTGTCCTGCTGGAACAACACCTGTAGTATTTTATTGAATTACTTTAACAAAGTAGATAAATACTTGGGGAATGGGAATTCCATCTATATGCATGTACATGTTTTGACTTGGACTGCCAATAGATCAAAGTGGTTTAATATAGCTTTAATAATTTAATTTCTCAATCGTTTTACCAATTTGTTTTCAAAAGAGTCAGCCACAAAAAAGCTAACGTGAAGAATATGGGCAATTGCAATGATAAACAAAAAGCATTTAGTGACTGAATTTATAAGAAACAAGTAACTCTATCTCCGCAGCAATACTAGGTATCTCTTGTGCTTTTTCCTATTTAAAGAAAATCTATGGCTGACAAAATAACATCTATAATTAGTTGAGACTTTTCAGTATTCCTTGCCTTGATCTCTATAGTTACTGTACCAGGTGAGACAGGAGAAAAGATGGAAACTGAGATGCACCATGCGATAATACCTGGGGCCTTAGAAACAAAAGAAGAAACCGGAGAAGCTACATTGGTCACGGAGATAGGTATGTTGATGGAATACATAAAAATGTAATATAATGTAATATATTAAGAACACAATATGTTGCATTGATATTATTATGTGTTCTACAGCAGAATTTCAGGTAGCAGCCAGCCAATTGATATGTACATTTGCTGGGGATTTCTTTGACAAAGTATTTCAGAAGACATAATGGATATGTATATTCAAAAGAGAACTAAAGGTATAGGATGAATCATAGATGGGATGACCTCAAAGTTAATATAGTCTAACCTCTTGTTCAGTGCACTACAATATCCCCGAAGGATGTCTTTCTGCCCTGTTTGAAGACCTCCAGCAAAAAAACACCACCTTATGTGACAGCCTGTTCCACTGATTACATATATTCAGAAATAGCTCTTCATATTTGGTTTGAATCTTTTTCCTTGTAGTCTTAACTTACTAGTCCTGGTCCTGCCCTTTCAGGCAATGGAGAACAGGTGAACCTCAACTTATGACTACTCGCTTAGTGATCATTCAATTGAGCAACTCCCAGACTAGTAACAACCCAGATTCAAAGTTCCAGCAGATGCCATACACCCCACCAACCCCACAGCCACATGAGCTTTGTGGGCACTCAGTAACCAGTCCACATTTATGGCATTTGCAGCGTCCTGCGGTCATGTGATCACAATTTACACTTTTTTTTTTTAACCAGAAACTGGCGTTTAGTTTTCTGGCAAAAGCACCCATTGCAAAAAATAGGTTTACTTTCTAACCTACTTGACTTTACTTTTGCTTTTTGACTGCCACAAAAAGTCATAAAATCAGTCACGGTCACAATCTGCTTAATGACCAGCATAATGCAATGACCATAATTCACTCAATGCTCAATAACACTCGTAAGTTGATGTCTACCTGTATAAGTCCACTACTTCTTCTGTGTGACAAGTGTTTATTTGAAGATTTCTGTCATATTTCTCCTAATTTATTTTTTCTGTAATCTAAACATTCCCAGATCCTTTAACTCTTCCTCAAAATGCTTGGTTTCAAGATTCCTCACCATTTTCATAGCCTTTTTCTGAATTCATTGTCTTTTTTGAACTGGACAAAAATTCTAAATGATGTCTGAATAGGGTAAGGTAAATGCTACAGTTAAATCCCATGATCTAGGGTCTATGCTCCTGTTAATACAGTGATTGCTTTTTTTTAAGCAGTGCAGCACACTGCTGGTTCATGTTTGACTTGTGACTTGTTAGCCCTTTCAGATTTCCACCTTCCTATACTTGTACCATTCACTTTTGCCCTATAATTCTTCTTCTTGTCACTCCCCTTCAAAGATTATTGTTGAAATTTTTTTTAGCATAACTTTCTGCACCATAGTAAAGAAATACTGTAATGGTTGTAGGGGACAGGCTTCATCAAAGCAAGCTGCAAGATGGACAGATTAAGCATTTGGTTCCTATACCCTCACCTTATTGTTCAGTCAGGTTCCTGTTTTAAAAGGGAAAGCATCTAACATAGCCTTAAATCTTCTGATGTAAACCAATTAGTTGACAATAATAGGCTGGAAGAACTTGGAAAATGAGATGCTTAATTAAACACTCTTAATTCCATAGTTACTATTTGCCAAGCTTGTTTTATTAAGTATCAGATTATTGCTACAGCTTTGAGATTTCCCATCCTCACCCATCTGACTACCAGGAAGTCAAAGCAGGTAAAGACAAACAAAAAAGAACAAGCAAAAAGTTATGTCCTTTAATATCTTTTTATTGCTCCTGACAGCAGAGGTTTCTTTCCTGAGACACTTTACAATTATTTCAGGGAGGAAAAACGCTTTTTAACTGTCTCCCATCAAAGTACTAACTAGGACCCATGAGGGTTGGCTACGTGCTACCACAGTGCTGACTTACACACACAAAAAAACACATTTTTATTTCAAATTTCTTTTTAATGAACTACACATTGTTTTCACTAGACTATCTTCTATCACTCCCGCCCTGAGCGAAGGAGTGATCTCCTTTACCTGGTGAGAGCATATAGTCGTCCAAGGTAGAAACTGGTCTTTGGTTATGCTGAGTAGAGACGCTGGGGACAGTAGTTCATAAAAGGGGTTGGACGTTTTTTTTGGGTACCTCCAAATCTGTGCTGATTCCTAGCAACTGCCTGAACTAGTCCCTGCCATTTTCTTGGCAAGATTTCAGAAGTGGTTTGCCATTGAGTGCTTTCTAGGGATGAGAGAGAATGACTGGCCCAAGATCACCCAGCCAGTTTTGTATCTAAGGTGGGACTATAATTCAGTCTCTTGATTTTTAGTCTGTTGCCTTAGCCCAGTGGTGGCGAACCTATGGCACGGGTGCCAGAGGCGGCACTCGGAGCCCTCTCTGTGGGCACACGTGCCGTTGCCCCAGCCCCGCCTCTCCCCGCGGCCCCCTCACCAGCAGCCCCTCTGGAGGAGAGTCACCCACAGGCATAGCCCGCATGGAGCAGCACAGCCAAGGACATAGCCGGGCAGCAGGGACAAGACTCCGCCCTCATGCCCCATAGCGTGCAGACGATGCTGCGGGGTGTGGGCAGAGGGCATGGCTGCCATAGCGCTGCAGGGCTGCCTGGGCGATCTGTGGTGGGCCATGGAGGCGGTGCGTCGCCCTGTGGGTGGGCGGGGCAGGCGGCAGTGGAGCAGGCAGGGCGGGAGGCAGAGCAGGGATAGGGGGTGGTTTTGGGGCACTTGGTCTCTAAAAGGTTCGCCATCACTGCCTTAGCCTTTACACCAAACTGGTTCTGTTTTAGAAATGTTTGGAGTGCTGCAAATGATCCGCCTTTGATCTAGTTGGATATCTAGCTTATCTATTCAGTTTTAGAATCTCTTCTGTCTGTTCAGTTTTAGGATCTAAATACTGTTTTAGGATTCTATTCAGGATCTCCATTTCCAATCTGAAATTTATCCTTTTAAAAGCTTATTCTATTGTTTTGGGGGTTTTTTTTACATAAAGAGCACTAGCAAATTTTCATGGTATGTGCACATACCTTTACTTCAAAAATTATTCATCTAAAGATCTTTATCACTTTTTAAATCCTGCCTTTATATTACAGAACCATCTAATGAAGAAGAATGACCCATGGCTTCTGGCTGGACTTCATGGCTAAACTTTATGGCTTCCGGCTAGACCTTATCCTTGATCGCTCGATTAAAATTTATATTCCTGTTTGACAGAAATCTAGTTTTTATAAGAGCTCGTATAGACTTATCACAACTATTGAATACTAAGTGAAAACCATTTTAATGAATTTTAATGGAAAAATCAAGTTGCCAAGGCACCACTGAGGAACTGCATTGTTAAACCATCACACCTGCCAGAAAGTGCCTTCTGCTATCGGTTCACTGGAACTACAAATTACAGAACACTTTTACTTGCTTTAGGTAGAAAATATGAAGGATAATATAACACAAATAATATAAATTGTAAATGCAAGTACAGGTAATCTTAGATCTAAGAATGTATATGGTCTAAAATAGGGTGAAAATAACCAAATTCCAGTAGCGTTTTTGCAGTCATGGATTATTTAATTGCATTTAGTACATTTCTTAGGTGAAGTTTCTTGTAAACATGTTAGAATTGTAATTCTTATCTGGATGGGGTTAGGCTGATTTATAGTATTAATCTTATTTCTTTAATATGGTATAGGAAAGAAAATACAAATTACATTTCCTGAAACTAATGAAAATAGTGATTGTGGTCCTCGAAATACTTAGATGAGCACTAGTATGGATTGTTGACATTTAAAAAATGGAGATGTAATATAACCTACTAAAAAAACAATTACCTTGCAAATGTCAGACTAAAAATGGAATAAATGATTGATTACAGTATTCTCTTAAACTATGCAACCAATAAAGTGAGCAGAGCTGTGCTTCACTCATTTTCAGAAACAAATTTATTCTTTGCTGCTATTTGTGTGATATGGCTGGTCTCGTGCCTTCTCAAAAGTCTCTAAAATGTAATCTTAAACTTTAAAATAAATAATATATTTGTGGAATATGGTAATGTTGTCCAAATATAGGAGTCTATTTGGTAAATGTCTACAGGTTTTATAGAAAACGTATTAAGACAATATTGTCTCCTGGGACCAGGGGTTGTAAAGAACAAATCAAGTTAGGCTAATTATTTTTTTTTCTGACCTGATGATTGTGCTGCTAAACCAGTGGTTCTCAACCTGTGGGTCGGGACCCCATTTGGGGTCGATCGACCATTTCACGGGGGTCGCCAAGAAAGGCTGTCCGCCATTTTTTTTGTCCGCCATTTTTCCCCCCTTTTCCGGCGGGTGCCTTACCTCCCTTGGGCTGGGCCAGCTGGTGGTCGGCCTGCTCCGTCTCTGCCGCTTGCCAGCTACACCTCGGCCGGCGCAGGGGGCGGAACCACGCATGCACGGCGCTCCCGGGCAGGGAAAGTCCTCGACTTACGACCGGTTGGGTAGTCCTCGACTTACAACCGGTTTAGTCCTCGACCTACGACCGGTTTAGTCCTCGACTTACGACCGGTTGGGGTCGCGGCATTAAAAAGGTTGAGAACCACTGTGCTAAACCAAGGAAATGACACGGATGGGGTGCACTGTGATTGCAAAGCATCTGTGAAGTCGTCTCATGTATGTGCAGCTAAAATAAATAAATACGGTATTGCAGACAGATGGACTTATAGCTGGATGACCTGCAAGCCCCAAAGGATGGTCATAAATTATTCTGTATTTTTCAGGAGGGAAAGTAGAGTGATGTTATTGGCTGGTGCTGTTCAACACATTTTTTAAAGACTCACAAGATGGAATGGACGGGATGCTGATCAAATGATACAAAATTAAGGAGATTGACATTATGGATAAAGTCAACTATTCAAAACACTCAAATGCTGGACCAAATCCAATAGAAAGATCAGATGAATACTGTAGGTACAGGATTGGACAGAATTGATTTGGTGGGTAGGCATATGAGATGCATCTAGGAATAGCAAGGCCTACTAGCTGAACATGAACAAATAGTGGTATAGTAGCTAAATAAAATACAATCTTGGTTGCATTAATAAATGCATTGTATCCAGACCCTTTCTCACTTTTCCTCCCTAGTTAACTCCTTGACATGGTTGCTTTCTTTCACAATTCTTAAAAGCGTCAAACAGTTGACCAATTTCTTGTTGATCAGGAGAGTTGATCTTGTTTCGCCTACCTTCTGAAAAATTAAACTGTCAAAAAAGAGAAATCAAAAATTTGTTCCACTACTAGTTTAGTTAGTTTTCCAGCAAATCTCAGATTACTTGGCTAATTTTACAGGTAGTCCTCGACTTATAACAGTTCATTTAGTGACCATTCAAAGTTACAATGGCACTGAAAAAAGTGACTTGCAACTGTTTTTCACACTTAACGACCGTTGCAACATCTCCATAGTTATGTGATCAAAATTCAGATGCTTGGAAACTGACTTATATTTATGACTGTTGCAGTGTCCCAGGTCATGTCATCACTTTTTGTGACCTTCTGATGAGCAAAGTCAATGGGGAAGCTAGATTCACTTAACAACTGTGTTACTATTTTAACACCTGTAGTGATTCACTTAAGTGTGGCAAGAAAAGTTGTAAAATGGGGCAAAACATCTCACTTAACATAAATTTTGGGCTCAATTGTGGTCGTAAGTCAAGGATTACCTGTATTTAGGAAGATATTGTCCACAACCTCTGGGAGATTAATAGTAACCTTTGGCAGTGATACCACTCCTGTTTCTTATGCTGTTCATCTTACCTGTATGCTTTGAATAGAATTTCCAATGTTTATGAACAAGAATTCCCCAGGTTTGCTCACAAACAAATCCACTCTGCATCCCTTTCTGCCAGATCTATGGTAGTCCTCAGTTAACGACCATTAAAATTTACATTGGCATTGAAAATATAACTTTACAACTGATCCTCAAACTTAAAACCATTGCAGCATCTCCAGTCACCGGATACCATTCAGGCATTTGGCAATCAGCATACATTTTAGACAGTTGCAGTTTCCTGCAGTTACAAGATCATTATTTGAGTTTAACAGACAGCTTCTGACAAACGACCAGTTGAGAAGCTGACAGTCATTTGCAAATCATAGCCACATGCTATTCCACTTAATGACCACAAGTAATTTGCTTAACAACCACAGAGGAATTGACATGTCCGGCTTTGGTTCCATGATGTTTCTTTTAATTAGTTGTTGGTCTCAACTGGGGACTATATTTCTTTATATGACAGTGTGGTATAGTGATTAAAGACACCAGGCTGGAAACTGAGAGACAGTGAATTCTAATCCTGCCTTATGGTCAAATTACATGTAAGGACAGTATTAGTTTTCTGACATTTTGGCCAGCACGTCCCAGTTGCAACCAAAGCCCAGTTCTCCCTCAAGCTATTCTATACAAGCTAGAATCTCTAAATTTGGAGACCATTTTGTAAACCAATATGCTATTGCTTGCGTATCAATAACTATGAGGTAGATGCAATAAAATCACGGGAAAAGTTGTGTAATATCAAACCCAGATTTTAGTCATATGAAAACTGGTAAAATGGTTCTCCTAGGGAGTGTCTAAAAATCTTATCTTAATATTGCAAAAATAATTGATCATTAAAAAGAAATAGGGTGCTTAGGAAAATACTAGTGCTCTGTTTAAAATGCCTATTTATCTGGAATTTGGTGCAAAAGTATTTGTAGAAACTATCCCGTAAGATCAACCAATCACACAAAGAGTTATACCAATTTGTTGTTGAGGAAATTTTTTTTGCATATTTCTGAATTGACATTCTAATTTGGACAGGCCAGCTGTTTTCCATTGCACTGAATTAGGATCCAAACTGAAATTTCTTAACTGAGCACATCCCTAAACCTGACTATTAGAAGATTTACTCAGAAAGCCCAAACACACTTTTACAACAGAGAAAAAAAAAGTGATGTTATGTAATTAACCGTTTTCCTTCAAAAGCCAATTATAAGGAGAAACTTCCTGACAGTTAGAACAATTAACCAGTGGAACAACCTGCCTCCAGAAGCGGTGAATGCTCCAACACTGGAGGTTTTTAAGAAGAGACTGGACAGCCATTTGTCCGAAATGGTATAGGGTTTCCTGCCTGAGCAGGGGGTTGGACTAGATGACCTCCAAGGTCCCTTCCAACTTTACTACTACTACTA